TCCCTAACAGAATATTTTGAGGTTTCATGTCACGATGAAGAATGCGATGGGAGTGTAAATAATACAGAGCAGAGACCAGCTGGCAGGCGATCTCACGGACCTTGGAAGAAGGGAACAATGAGCTCATGTTGATCATGAGAAAGCACAATAAGTCTGATGTATGACTTAACTCTTTCCACAAAATAATGCATACCTGGCTCTCTGGTAATTTCCCATCATCCTCAAGAATCTGGAACAACTGACCCTCTGCATATTCAGTTACAACCACAACCTGTCACAAACATATAAGGCAATACTGACGCTTAAGCTGGCAGTATAGGGTGAAAGATGGCTCTTTAAACTTCTCACTGAAAAAAAAAAGATTCACAACATCACTTTTTGTACTTGAAAAAAGTGACAGAGGAGGATCCCCAAACAGTCCAGGCTAAGCCCAGGAAGAGTACTACTACTATACGCAAAGGTCCCGCAGCAAAGAGTATGACTATGGTTCATAAATGTGGCACTCTCACTAATAAATCTCACATTTCATGCAGTTCTTTGTAGTATGAGATTACAAGATTATAAAAGCTCTGTGATGATGGAGGAGGTTGCAGATGTTTACATTTGTAATAACTCTTTCAAATGTAACCAATGCATTAACAACTCAAATCTATTAGCAGCTATTAAATGCAGGAAGATAGCTTATTAACTGTCATATAGGCCTGGTTTCAATATTGAGCTAATTTATGTTAAGTCAAGAAATTTGTTAATTTCCAAATTAAGATTTTAAAAGAAAGATCAGTTATGGACTGTTTTTATATTTCTAAAAAAAATATTAATGCAAGAATTACCCCTGGATTACTGTTATGGGAATGACCTCAGATAAAAAGATACATAGTTTGTTAGGTCCAATAATGTGTTGGGAACTTTGGTGCAATGTGAAACAAAAGCTTATGTTGAACTTACCTCAGTTTGAGTCTCAAAGCTGTCAAAGAGTTGAACAATATTTGGATGTTCAAGACCTCTCATGATGTCAATCTCTCTTTTGAGACTCTGTAGCTCCTTCTCAGAGCGACCAACCTTAGGCATGAACTTCAGAGCCACCACCTGATGAACACAAACAGACAGTTTGGGAAGTAACATTTACTCAAATACTATATTTAACTACAATGTTGAGGTACTTGTACTTCCTTTCAGTATTTCCATTGAATGCTACTTTACACTTCTAATCCATTACATTTAAAAGGTTAATAATGTTATTTTACTCCACTAAATGTATTTAACAGCAAAATGCATCTCGAGAAATGTAACTAGTGGACTAACTCCAAAAGTCACTAAAGAGTCTAATTATTTACAAATGTTACATAAAGTCAATCAGAACTTTGTTTGTCTACAACAAAAAAATGCTACTTGATGCAACAATATTATCTGAAAATCACACATATAATTGTAGGCCTATACGCACAAAAAAGTAATTTTTCTGCACAATGATGACTTTAAGCACATGTTGCTGATATCACTTCTGTACTTTTACTTAAGTAACATTTTGAATGCAGGACTTTCACTTGTAATTAAGTATTTAGGAAAATGACAATAATGTATTGGTACTTTTACTCAAGTAGAGCATCTGAATACTTCTTCCCCCACTGCAGACCAGTTACACAGCTATCAAACTGTTTCAACAGAGGTGACTTACCTGGCCTGTATATTTTTTCCTCCCCTTGTAAACACGACCAAAGGAGCCCTCTCCAGCTAGCTCCAAAACGTGATACGAGTTCATGTCGACGGTGAACGGCAGGAGGCTAACCACAGACACGGTTCGTCGGTAAGTTATTTGTTAGGGCTGAACACGAGGTTTTCCATTCCTTACAAATAAACAACACGTAAGTCCAAACGTTTAAGGTTATAAGTCACAACTTCTAGCTAACAGCCAGTTGTCAGTGCTACCGTTAGCTTCGAGCATTACTTTAGTGTAGGCTACCTCTACTTTTTGGATGTAGCGACAACACAAACCGCTGGAGACCAAGTCTAACTGCCGTTTCACAAAAGTAACAAACAACCTACAAAAGTTTGACTTTCCACACATATATATGCACGGTATGTGTACGCATGGTGTTTAGGATAAGTATTTTACCAACAACTTGCTCTATTACAAATTATTTAAAATTGTAATACCTAAGTCAAAACTGGCTCTACTTTGGACAACCCACAAGCAAGGGTCCTTCGCCTAGCAACCACATTTGCGTTCCTGGCAACGGCAACTGGACAACAAAAACAATACTGCTTTTCTCTTTATTTTATTAATTGTACCAGTTACTTTGGAATATAAATCTCACTCACTTGGCAATATTTACTGTGTTATACAATATAAGTTTACACAACATATATCCAACAGTCCTACATTTAGAAAGAATTAAAGATGATTGTGCAAAACTATGTAGGCTAATATCACATTGAGTGTAAAAAGTCATACAATTCAAACATGAATATAGTAACCTACATTTATTGGTATAGGAATATAAGATTATCAAGCTTAAATGCGGATGTCCCCAAAATACAGATATTGGAGCAATAATCATTCATTTTTATGTAGCCTATGGAAGAAGCCCAGTTACTCTGTAATCCACCAGATGTCGCACTCTGCACAGAAACAGATCTGGCTGCATATGAAAGCTGATAATAAATGATATCAGCCTCATATTCATCTAACATTTCAGATGCATTGTTATAGTGACTTTATGTTAACATCTATGTTATATTTCTGCAGCCCATTGATCATTTAACATGCAATCAAATTATTTGTAGCATCATTCTTTTTATTGTTAGGCTACTGTATATTCAAAGTCTACTGCTCTTATTGACACATTTCCTTTTAATAATTGCATCTCTTCAATGTGGTCAAAAGGGCTCATCTAATTATGATTTGATGGACTCCTGCAGGTCAAGTGGAGTCAGTTACGCATGTGTCCCTGGAAGTTGGAGATGTGATAAATCATCAGTGTGTTGGGACACGATGATAGGCCTGCTGTTTCCTGAGTCTCAAGTGGCCGCAGAAAAAGTCTCGAGCTGAGACGCGCGTCCAATGAGCGCCTCCAAAGACTGCCCCCCTCCAAAAGAGAGATTCAGTTTCCATATGTTTTTACACATGACGAGAATGCATAAAGTGCAGAGAAGGCAGCAGTCGACTCAGCACACACAGGTGGAGAATGGGAATGGGTCATGACCAGGAGGAGTTTGCACTGAGTGGACTTGTACGACCTGCATTGTTTTAGAGTCCTGCGCTCTGGATTATGCTCTTCATCCTGTTCTGTGGCTGACACCGCTTCCACTGAGCTTGCACATTTCATATCGTTTTGCTTTCTCTGATGGTCATTGCATTCTTTATTGAATGCAAACATCGTCATGTTTATCAGGACAACTTTTCTCCTCTACTTTGCGCTCTCGTTCTCAAAACGTGTTCGGTGCATGGAAAGTGAACTTTGCTTCCCTATTAGATTGGATAACCAAAACCATGACAGGAAGGATTTTGACAATGACGTGGATATCCTGAATGGAAAACATGTGTTAAAAATACGAGCTTTCCGGCAGGAATTAGTGATCGATTTGCATCAGGACTCTAACTTTATTGCCCCTTCCATTTCTAACCAAGACGCGTTCTGGCTCTCCAACAGCGATGTCACCACTGACCTGAGCCGGTGTTTTTACTCCGGATACGTGAATGACGACCCGCATTCTTACGCTGCTGTAAGCCTTTGTAAGGGTTTACAAGGTGCATTTGGCTTCCATGGCTGGGAATATTTTATCAGCCCGGTGCAAAATGACACCACAAGCGCAGAAGGTGCGCACATCATCCGGCGCAGAGCCAGCAACAACCTGAAGCTCAACTCGACCTCCAGGTGCGCAGTGGACAGTGACATAAGTCTCCAAGTGGCACAATCGCTGGAGAAATACAAGCGACTAAAAGATGACAGCAATTCGACCGAAACGTTGCTGAAGAGGATGGGGCGAGCCAAACGTTTCGCCTCCATCCCCAGGTACGTGGAGACGCTCGTGGTGGCCGACGAGTCCATGGCTCAGTTCCACGGAGATGACCTAAAACACTACATCCTGACACTTATGGCAGTGGCAGCGAGGCTCTACAGGCACCCCAGTATTCTCAACTCCATCAGCATCGTAGTAGTGAAAATCGTGATTATATCCGAGGAGGACAAAGGACCCAAGGTGTCCGGGAACGCAGCCATGACGCTGCGAAACTTTTGCACTTGGCAAAAAAAGATGAACAAAAACAACGACAAGCATTCAGACTACTGGGACACAGCCATCCTTTTCACTAGACAGGTAAAGTGATTAATCCTGCTGGGTTTAAGGTAACAAACGAAATGATGTGGTATTTTAGTAAGCGTAATTACGCACAGAAATTCTTTATTTTGAGGATATTTATCTTTAAATCTTCGAAAATAATGAGGCCATGATATTGACTTAAACATCATTTTTGTGTACATAAGACATGTTTAAGTTTCGTTAGAGAAACTGTACTTTACATGACATGCTCCCCCCCAAAAACTCCTGCTGTGTCAGGTAATTGGTTTGCTCTCAAAACACTCTCTCCACCTCAGGTGAACTCAGAGAACAGAATATCCAGTCCACCAATAACATCACAGCTTTGACACTGAGGCTGGGTCACTGAGGAAATTAATAGGGCTGAACAGAGAAATAGCCCTGATTGCACTTCATGGATCCTTAGAGGCCAGTTTTATAGACTTGGAACCCACCTCCAATTTCTCTCTGCACTCCCAAATATTTGGCAGGGGACGCAGGGTCAGAGATGAAGTCAGATCAAAAATCATTGCTCAGTGTGCAACACGATGATCTATCATGAACTGTCTGCTTTTGGACATTGGCCACTTTGCTTTCACTTAGATGCAGAACACTGGGAATAAAGTTGACAGATCAGCAGATTAATTACTGAAAATTATTGTGTTTGGATATAGTTCAGTTTGCAGTCAAAGGTGATGAAGTTAGAGTCTCAAAGGACCAGAATGAAGGAGTCAAAAGTAACAAATAAGGTGCTGAATTACCTTTGGCCCATGTCACTAACATCACCGGACACATGATCGTATCAGACCTCAAACAAATGTTTTCACTGTAACTTTGCCAAGCTTTACTTCCACCAGAGATGCGTTAGTGGGAAGTCTCTCATTTCTTTCAGCCTTTCCCATTCTTCCTCCAGCTGTGGGTTTTCCAGCCCTACCCACCTCCTTCCCTGTTCCTCATTAAACAGTCCCCTGAAGGGAGAGATGGAGGGAGCGGGGGAGTGATGTAGGAGGGGGGAGGTCCCTCTGTGTCACATATACAGGGACCTGCCTGCATACCTGCTCTCCCAAAGTCTTACACAAACTGCAGTTAGCCTGCACAGTTGCATGTTTTTAACACATTCTTCACACCCTTCCTCTCTCTCCTATTCTTCCTGCTTTACACCCCTTTGTATGCACAGTATGCTCTTTCCATTTAGGCCATGACACCTCAAAGATGGGCTGTATTTTCCATAAAGCTACAAAATCCAGGGTGTTACCAGGTTTTGGTAAGCTCCACGTGCAGAGTTGATGTTATAAGCCCTGTTGCCAGTTCAGATGACCGCATTCAACTGACTACAGTGAGTCACATGGCTATAATGTGCAGTATAAAGCAGAAAGACATACGTCAAGGGATTCAGTCATTGTTTGGGTTAAAATTATATTGAAACTGAATAAGTGACCTATGCTGTAAAAAGTTCTGTATTTCTAAAGAAGCTGCTTGTGCCAGGAGGAGTCAATCCAAAAGAAATGTGGCCCATACCCCTCGTGCCTTTCAAATTAAAAGGCTATATTTGGGTAACACTGTAACAGTATAAGTGCACAGAGCAGCATTTATAGTGCACACCAAACAATAGATCAACATAATCCATCAAACACCATTTTTGATTAGGTCAGAGATTTTCAAATTGGGAGGCTCAAAACAGCTAGTGGAGGCTACATCATTTTTTACAAGAAGATCACATAGGTTTGGTTTAAGAGATAGTTTAGAGATTAGTTGTATTTTGGAAACTTGTACTGTATTTCTTACTTTTCCAACACATGCATGGGACAATACTTATTTATGTTTTTGACCTAGTCTCGGTACAACAGTATAAATCTGTAGCATATTTGCCTGCACTGATATTTCACTTTTTTTGCACCAAACAATGGCGTATATATATATCTATAGTATTCAATCCATCAGAATGTATTCAACAGCCGGAATCTGAATGCCTCAAATACTTCAATTTAAAAGTGAGGCCGAATGAATATCATTATGAAATTACATGTAAAACTGCCTGGTCTTATTTGATAAAATCTGATTTTCTTTACTAAACCTTTGTTCATTCAGGCCTGCAGCACACATACGGACACATTTACCCTTGTAGGTACTTATTAATAATAGTTTACACTTAAGCTGCTGATAGGGCGTCGGTAGTATGTTTAATCAGTGGTGTTGTTTTTGAGTTGACCATTTAATTCAAGGTGCATTTACCGCTTGTCTGCCTTTTACCAGCCCTCAGTGTAATTTGCAGGTTTTATGAAGACCAACTCGGTGTTGTCCAGAGGCAACTGCAATGTCTTTAAACTCTTTTGCAATTTTACTCAGTTCATTACGGAAAGTTTATTGTATGCGAACATACAGTGTCCAACGAAAGACCAAAAAACGAACTGTAAATCTGACGTATTTATGTCTCCCCTGGGAGAGAGGGGGGTGGTTGTACTTTAGCTCACAGCGTGTTTGCCTTTATTTGCAAGATAGATAATAGTTTGAGAAAGCAAAGAGGGCACCCAAGTGTGGCCGGATGTCGTAAACCATGTGTGTGATACTGCTGAGTATCAGAGCTTTTTTTCCACTCCTAGACTTTTGTTTTAAAAGTAATAACTAAACTAAAACTCATGCAACATGGCAGTTACGAGTGATGCACACAAATGGTATTTAAATGCATTAAAAATAACTACACAAAATAAAAGGAAGAAATGTATTTGCTGAGGATTGCATATTGTTTTTAGTTTGTTTTCTTAAACACACAAAACACACAAAGATAGTTGTCAAATGTGGGAATGAGGTCAAGCAGAGAACAAACTCTTTGACACTGCTGTTCCTTCTCCTCTGCTCGTCTTGCAGTTTTTATTTTTTGCTCATAAATGGCCCAAGCGTTCTCATTTCGTCTGCACACATGAGCACATCTGTTCTGGATTTGCGCTGGCCAACAATTGCGGTTTTGTGGTTTATTCTAGGAATGATTTGTCATAGCGCTCGAGGTCTTCACTTGGCAATGTGTTCAATGTGTACATCCAGTGCAGGGGAGGAGAGCAGGAGCTGAGCGACATTAACCCAAGGCTGTTATTTTTTATCTCTGATAGCCGACCACTGTTGGTTTTCGGTGTTTCCAGGGTATGTAGCTGTTTAGGAGCCGGGCGGTTCTCTGTGGCGGTTTGTGCAAAGGTTGTCCTGTGATTAGGAGGTTCAGCTCTAAATGGATACTCGCTTAGACTGTTTTTTTTTTTTTTTTAAATCCTTGTGGCGGAGAAATAGGTCATCTGGAAACTCTGCCCTGGCTTGGAAATGTTATGATTGGGGACAGCTACTTTAGCTCATAGAAGAAGGTGTGCTCTAAACACTGCTGACCACTAACAAGAGTGGGCGGTGGAAAGCCTGGCTTAACACTGTTGCATCTTTCCGTAGAAAACTAACTTTACTGTAATGACAAGACAACCCAAAAAGGATAATTCCAGCTACAACTTTGGTTTGTAGTTTTGCCACTTCTTTTTATTTGTAAATAGTAACGTTGTACTCACCAAGTTAATTGCTGAGGGCCGGAGACAAGGTGACATCACTAATAAGTCAGACAGGGAAAGAAACAGGAATAGTCAAAAGATCAGACAAACAAACTCAGTGGTATATTAATACATACAAATGATGGCCAAGGCTACAAGACTCAAACGTCTGGCTTGTTTTCTAGCTCTGACGACCTAAAATGTACTAATGCTAAATGTATTTAATTTAATCCAGGATCTGTGTGGCGCCTCCACCTGTGACACTCTCGGTATGGCGGATGTCGGCACCATGTGCGATCCAAAGAGGAGCTGCTCTGTGATCGAAGACGACGGCCTACCTTCAGCCTTCACCACGGCTCATGAGCTCGGTAAGCCAACGCCACTCATCATTTAATACACAAACAGGAACATTTCCTTTTGTGTTTGAGATTAGAGTACCTTTGTTTTTCCCACCTGACCTCACGTTCCCTCTCTGCAGGACATGTGTTCAACATGCCACACGACAATGTGAAGGCCTGTGAAGACGTGTTTGGGAAACTACAAGACAACCACATGATGTCCCCCACTCTCATTCAGATCAACCGCACCAGCCCCTGGTCCCCTTGCAGTGCTGCCATCATCACTGAATTCCTGGACAGCGGACACGGTGAGTTACCACGACCTCTGTGTTTGACTGCTGGCAGCCTCATAGTGTGTTTAAAGGGGTGTGAAGCCAGGACAGCACAAACTACTGAGGGTAGCGTTACACATTTTACACATCAGAGTCTGTTTACACATTTTAAGGAGTACCATAGCATATGTGAAAGAAAGTTCTTTAATTAAAGCCTTTTGTTGGTCCAGATGAAGCTGTGTGAAGTCTGTCTAACTGACTCAAGGGATGTCACTTAAGTCAGCTTTTTTTTGGTTGAAGACTTCGAGTTGGAAAATGAACACAATCTTGTGTTGTTGAGTGCAAAGCGATTTTATCACATTTCTGTATCCAGCTACTCATATCTGTTTCAGGCTAGCACCTCAAGGCTACATTAGCCACTATTAGCACAACACACTAGCAGACGAGTTGCATTGTGGGTAATGTATGCACCAGGTTTTTAAAAAGGAGTCCGTAGTCCTGCTGCAACAACTTTAAACGAACATCTAGTTAGGGGTTGATTACATAGAATACAACATACGCATTGAATTATTCATGTAATCAGAGCCTTTTCTCTACATCTTATTCTAAGGTCCATCTTATCTTATCTTATCTTACGTGGTTCTGTTTGCCAGTGGATCAGGATATTCCCTCCATGCAATTGCTTAAGAGGGGCAGACTTTTCTTTTGACATTTGCTAGTTTTTACTCAATGTTTATGGTTTAACAGCCTCTTGATTTGTAATATAACTACAGTCATCAGTCTAACTTAAAATGAGACACGTGCCTAACCTCGTATAGCACCACGCTCATAGAAAAGGATGGCAAAAGCCAAATAGAAATGCATTCAGTTGGAGGCAGATTGTTTGCCAAGCAGTCCAGACCACAGGACTTGGCCTTGGAGCAATGCTAAACGTTTATTTTAAAGACTGCCCCCACATCTGTCCAAATTTAGAGGGCTTTACTGGGGAGAGTCGCCACAGTGGTTTGGAGTAAGAGGTGTATCTGCCCAGTGTTTCCCATGCAGGTTTACTCCAAATAGACAAACGTTTTGCTCCTTTGTGTCTTTTCAAGAGATTGTCTGAGGACAAAAGATCCCAACTGGTTCAGAGTGAACACAGACGAACATTTTTGACTTGACAAGGAGTGATTTCTATCTAGCAATGTTGTAACTTGGCTTCTCCCGTCTGCCTGTCATAAATCTTGACTTAAAAAGCAATGGAGAGGGGAAAAAAACAAGTTGGCACATGTTCAAGGCAGTTTTCATGCTGTGCTATGCCCCAAATTATTTGTAACCTGTTCATTTCTCCACACACAGACATTGCCAGCTATTGTTTTCGATAATTGCTCTCTGGTGAGAGAGTAGGAAGGAAGCGCTGAAGTGTTGCCTCTTCAGTGTGGAGTGACTTGTTTATGTACCATTGCTTATAATCAGTTAATCAGTGTGTTTATTCTGCAAATGTGCCACCAGTTAAAGCTCATTCACTCACTGCCTTATTATCTGTTGTGAATTCACCACAACATGAATGGCGTAAACAGTAATAAACAGTTCAAAGCAAGCACCCATTTTCCCCCCAGTGCAGAAGACTTGTTTTGGATGTGTAAATTCCCCATAAGGATGAGAAGCTGTGTGATAGCTCCTGGAAAGCTTCACGTTCCCTGACGTTGATCTTTCATGTTTCCAGGCACCTGCTCGTCAAAGTCTTCCTATTAATAGCCTGTTCCTGGAATGGTTTCTTTGTGCCATTTATAGTAAATGGAGGCCATGCCTTTGACCTTTGAACTGCTTGCTTGCCACATGTCATTTTGGTTTAAAACTCAGAACTACAAGTCTGAGATTTTAGCAGACCGTTTAACCCTGGATTGGATCAAACATGGGAAGATGAGCTTGTGGGTTTTTAGTTCGAGCCTGGGATGGGCATGCATGTGTGTGTTATGCGTCTGTGTGCGGTATGTGGCAAGCGCTGCATCAAGCTGTACTTCCACTTCAAAGAGCCAAAATCACAAGGGCAATGGTTGCTTACAGCCTCCAACCCACAATCCCACCCACCCACAACACACAACAAGTGGAAATACTGATGCATAATTGTAGGTTAGATTTTTTTACGGTTTTGCGGTCATATATGGGTGAAATGTTAGCACTTAATTTAATCAAAGTTAGGTAAAGCAAAGCAGTAAAACCATAGATGACGGTCGGTATTGCTACTTTGTGTCGCTCACTGAGTTTCCATCTTCTAGGTGAATGTTTGCTCGACCAGCCTCAGAAACCGTTGGTCTTCCCCGTCATACTGCCGGGAACATCCTACGTCCTGGATCGTCAGTGTGAGCTTGCGTTCGGAGAAAACTCCAAGCCGTGTCCCTTTATGCAACCGCCATGTGGCCGTCTGTGGTGCACCGGAAAATCCAATGGCCATTTGGTGTGTATGACCCGGCACTTCCCCTGGGCAGATGGCACCAGCTGTGGGGAAAATAAGGTCTGCGACAGAGGGGTCTGCTCCGACAAACACGTTTATAATGTGAAGGTAAGACTCACAGGAGTTCTTGATATCAACATTCACCTTAGGTTTGCAAATCTATATGATTGGCGTTTGTTTATCAGCAATCAATGGGCCATTTAAATGATTAAGTCAATCAAATGAGTGTCATTGAAATGGGCCATTCAATTCGGGATTGTGGAAAACGGTATTTCGATCTCTCAAACGCTACGTGTGATTTGCAGTAAATGCAGCCTTAACTGGGGTGTGATTATGGTGGGCCTTTGTTATTATACGTTATGCAAAATGCAACTGTATTGTGTCTTTCCAGGTGGATGGCCGCTGGGGTAGGTGGGGCCCGTTTGGATCCTGCTCACGCACATGTGGAGGGGGCGTCCAGCTGTCTAAAAGAGAGTGCAACAGCCCAGTACCATCAAATGGGGGTAAATACTGCCAAGGGGTTCGGGTCAAATACCGTTCCTGCAACCTGAACCGCTGCCCTGATACAGGTATGAGACAATCATAACAGAGAAATATGTCCAATAACATTTTTCCCACTAGTGCGTTCCCACCCCTAACCTCCTGCACCCTCCCTCCCATCACTCTGTATAGGACACACGTTCCGCGAGGAGCAGTGTGCGACCATGGGCCGTTCCTTCATCAGTAACCGCATCGACCCCGCTTCAATGTGGCTGCCCAAATACTCTGGAGTGTCCACCGACGACAGGTGTAAACTCATCTGCAGGACGAACGGCAGCGGCTACTTCTATGTCCTGGCACCCAAGGTAAACGACCAAGTGTATTTCACATTCCCTCAATATTAAAGAGGCCCTATCTTGCTTTTTGGGGTTTCCCCTTTCTTGTAGTCTGTTAAATAGGTGTGTGCGCATGTAAATGTTCTGCTAAGGCCAAAATCCCAAAGTTCCCTCTACAGACACACATTCCCCCAACTATCTGAAACGCCATTGAACGTGATTTGATAAGGGGCGGGACATCTCTAAGTGGTAGACCAATCACAACAGAGCTGGCCAGCTAACCAATCAGAGCAGACTGGGCTCTGGTTTCAGACAGAGGGTGAAAAGAGGTGCTGCAGCAAAAATATAGAGCTTTTTGAACATTAAAGCATGGAGACAAAAAATGTCCTCTTTTAAAGTTAAGAGAATTTCTTTGGTGATTTGACAAAAATGTCTGAATAAATAAAGGTTTTGATATATGAGGAAAAGATAGAGGAATGGGGATATACTGTATATCAGCCAGCTGCCTCTGGTCTCAAAGAGTGAAGGCAGGAATGAAGGAGAGGAGGAGGCCAGTTTATTTCTTTTCCGATAGCAGGGTGTAGAGTGAGCTTTAGCAGTGGTGAGGTCGAGTCACTTCACACTTCACTCCATCATACCGGCTAAGGAGGAGTAGATAAGAGTGCACAGGGGACACGTAGCTCTGAATCACGGAGCAGATGGATGTTTTAACCACAGAGTCATGACTTTAAACCAAAAATGGGTTTACAGTAATGTGTGCAGTTTTGTTTCATGAGCTGGAGTTTGGCTCATTTGGGGCCAGATAAATCTCAGGGTGGAAAAATGTCTGCGTCATTGGAGTTCACAATCGCTCTCTGAGAACTTGTTATCAGTCAGATATTCGCAGACAGAGTAGCAGTGAAGCTGATTTAGCTGACAGCCTCACTTCAGATACTGTCGTCCACAGAACATACGTCATCCCGGTACCCGCGTGTTCATTGTTGATTTGTTCTGTCTGTAACTCGCACATTCTTGAGAAATATTTTGAACATGTATTTTGTCTGCTTGCTTTGCAATCTTGAAAACAGATGTTATGCTGTATGCTAAGAGTACTGTTTTCAGTACATGTGGTGAGGGATTTAAAAGCAGTTATATAATGGGTGCAGTTCATGTTTTAAAACAATCAAAAAGTATTCATATAAATGTATTTTAGATTGGCTAAGATTAGATTAGATATACTTTATTCACACCAAATTGTCCCAGCAGCAGAAAGTCAACAGGTTTAAAATATAATAACATGAAAATATAATTAAAGGTAAACAAAAAGCAAATATATACAACAGTAAAAAAGCTACATAGAGTATCTAAATAATACACAATATAAAAATACTGATTAAATTAAAATACTCTATAATATACAAATCTACTACAAAAACTGAAAAATATAGACATACGGCACTAAATAAATAAAAAAAAGTGTGCCAAGTTGCATGCCAATCCAATCCTATCCAAAAGGGATAGTGTGAGAACAATATATACAATATATGCTTAATAACTTGAGATAAAGATTTAAAGCAAAGTCAATTCCGATGGACTGTAACAGAAATCCTGTTGTTAAAAAGGTTCAGTGTTGAATGCTCTTAACCTTATAGTCTCTTTTCCCTCCAGGTTGTGGACGGGACTCCATGCTCCCCAGATTCCACTGGAGTGTGTGTCCAAGGAAAGTGCATCAAGGCGGGCTGCGATGGAACAATTGGCTCCAACAAGAAGTTTGATAAGTGTGGAATCTGCGGCGGTGATAGCAAGGGCTGCAAGAAGGTGTCGGGACTCTTCACAAAGCCTCAGTGAGTAGAATCCACGTCATCATGGGATATTACTTCTGTCATTAAATATGACAGTACAGCTCAATGCCTTAATAGGGTCATTGGAGATAAAACCTAAAATGACAGAGCTAAGGAAGGGGAAAATTATGAAAAACACTCATGGAAAAAATTGGGATATTCCCTAAGATTATAAATTAATACATTTGCAAGGCAAGAAAAAATTGCTCATCAACTTCAGGCACAATACACAGCAACATCTGTCACTACAAAGTGAAGCAATGTTGGTTCCTTGACCAAAAACAAACATTTTTCCTGAGTTTCTTTCTAGAGAATTCAAGACTTTAATCTCGGGAAACCTTAGGGTTCCTATAGAAAATTACCCCCCCTTTTTTTTGTGCCTACAATGGCCCTAATACGTTGTTGTATGATAGCAATTTCATCCTCAACATTATAAGCTCTCATTGACTGTAATATGTTTTGGCATGCAGGCATGGCTACAACTTTGTGGTCATATTACCAGTGGGTGCAGCCAACATAGACATCCGTCAGCGAGGCTACAAGGGAATGAGGAGTGATGACAACTATCTGGCGCTTAAGAACAGCGAGGGCCACTACCTGCTCAATGGGAAGTACGTAGTGTCAGCTGGAGAGAGGGACCTCATCGTGAAGGGAAGCCTGATGCGCTACAGTGGAACAGCCGGCCTCTCAGAGACCCTGACGGCCGTGAAGCCTTTGGGGGAATCCCTGACTGCGGAGGTGCTGTGTGTCGGCCAGATGACGCCGCCTCGAATCCGCTACTCCTTCTACCTCGCCCGGCAGATCAAGGAGGACAAAGCTCTCAAGAAGGACGGACGTGTTAGCTCCCATAACAGCGTCCTGGCTGAGGATAGTGTCAAGGAGAAAAGGGGAGACACCCTGAAGAAGTCTTATAACAAAGAGGATCCCGCTCTTGGGAAGTGGATATCCTCGGGCTGGGATCAGTGCTCAGTGACCTGCGGTAATGGGATGCAGAGGAGGATGGTGCAGTGTCTCAGACTGGACGGGAAGCCAGGGCTGGACTGTGACCCTTCACAAAGACCCCCAGCCACTAGGGTTTGTGGAGACCCCTGTCCTGAATGGCATATTGGCCTGTGGTCACCTTGCTCCAGAACCTGTGGGAAGGGCTTCAAGAGAAGGCCGTTGCACTGCACAACCCAAAATGGACATCTGCTCGAAAGAGACCACTGCATTGGCATACGCAAGCCACAGGAGCTGGACTTCTGTAACCTAAGGCCTTGCTAGTGACTTGAAAAAGTATAAACTACAAATCTTTGTTCTTTTTTAAATTGACTGAATTGAATCCACCTGCAATATAACACATGCTGTGTCTGTCGGGTGCAGATTGTTCCACCTGCATCATGGGACACTTGCTTGGAAGAACCAAAAGAATATTGGAAGGAGAGTGAAATCCGCAGGATAATTGCTGGAAGATTTTTTTCACTGCCATCACTCTGACTTTTTAAAGACACGATCCAGGTCTGACTCTGATTTTGGCAAGATAACATGATAGAGGGTCAAATGAAATGTAGTTGAATCCTGTGTACTGTCAGCAAATACAGAATGCACATTTGCAAGCAATCAATCAAGGGTCTGGAACCCATTTTATGTCACAATGTTTTAACTGTTCAGGTTTCAAAGTTTTACTTGAGTCTTGCAAATAGATGATTGAACCCTTCTGGTTGTCCAGAAAATGACTCCCTTTTCCCAAAGAAAATCTATCAGTATTGACGTGGAAAACTTTTTAACTTCATAACTAAAATATAATACCTACACTTTTTCATACAAAGAAGGACAGTCAATTTGGTTATTTAATAGTATGGGCGCTCTTATTGGCATTTTCTTCCAGGGAATCTTTTGAAATGCCAGAATTGATTCAGAAATAAAATGTATCACCTCATTTATATGGTTGCACATAAGCAGCCGTAACTTTTATGCTGGTGCTGCATTGCTTCTACAATGCAATTATATATTTTTAAAGAGGCCCTATTATGCTTTTTGAGGTTTTCCTTTCCTGTAGTGTATTATATACGTTTTTTTTGTATGTAAATGGTCTGCAAAGGCTTAAATTCTAAAGTTCCCTCCAGAGGGAGTTTCTCTCCCCCCGTGCCTGAAACGCCTTGATTGAACTCCTTTGTTTACTTCCGTAACATAGTGACATCACTATGTAACACTCACGCTCCTATTGGCTAGCACTCCAACACATTGTACATGATAGGCTAAGGAGCGGGACATCTCTAAGCGCAACAGAGCCGGCCTGGTTTCAGACAGAGGGTGAAAAGAGATGCTGCAGCACAGGCAGTATGAGAAAAATAAAGCATGTAAACATGTCACAGTAGAGGCAAGAAATACAAATATGAACCTGAAAACGAGCCCCTTTAAAAATATTTTGTATGTGGAGCTGCAACGATTAGACAATCAACAGATCTTGCTGATTCATCAGGCTGGACCAAACATTGCATTGCCCATCTGAAATAAGGGCTTAGCCTGATATCACACGCACACAATAACACACATGTTAAATCACCGCTTCTTATGTTTGATCGTTTCCTTCATGTCCTTTATCATTCCCCCCCACAACATTTGTCTACTCAGTTCATCACGTTCAGCCATGCTAAGTCATGCCTGTCTGGCAAAGTTACCACAGATAATTTATTATCAATGAAACAATAAAGCGGATAGGGGAAGAAAACCTGGCTGGCCTTCTGTTACGCTGTACAGAGTGTATGTGTTTTCCTGGACCTCCTTGTTTATGGCCCCAGAGCCCGAGCCAAGCTGTTCTTCTAGACACTTTCTGAAATCCTGTAATCTATTATATTCTTGTTTTGTTTCCTAATGGGGCCACATTGTCCAGTGCAACGTCCAACTATGGGATGGATCCAGCGTTAGTTGGATTATCATTTTAATTTGATCAGCTTTTGCACTTTGTACAGCAAAAGAAACATATGACCTACATGAGCTGTATTGTATACTATGTATATTTTTATTCAGCTCTGTGAAAAAACTAATGTAAATACTTTTTAAATCATTTTTTTTGTTACACAGACATTTGTAATTGTCTTGGACTTCAGTGTATTTATTCCAAAAATAAAGCCATTCATGTACAGTTATATCAAGTACTGCATTTTACTTTCATGATTTAATAGTATCATCATCAATATTTAATATCAATATCGTGGCCCGGTCACACATGTTTCTGCAATATCAAATTATTCCAATGCAATTTCCGCAATAAGTAGATTTTCTTGTGGGGGTAAGGTAAATCAAGTCAAGGTTTTTCTTTCTTCAAGATGAAATACTATTGAACGTTTAAGGGAATGCTATGTGCACTGAAAAGTCTTTCTTCCCTTTAAGAAATGCATAGGTTTTGCCAAAAATGTAGGCTATAATACAGCCAGAGGGAGAAAAATGATAGAGCCCATGCTGAGCAAACTTTTAGCAAAGGGTCAGCATTAAAATTAATACAGAAGAAAGAGAGGAAGCAGATGAAGTGTGGACGATGAAACATGTGGCAGAACACATGCCCAGCTTCCCTGCTTCCTCTCTGTGAAATATCCAAATTAATTTCCAGCTCTCACATGTGCAGCCGAAGGTAAGAGCATATAGGGGAGATGGGTAGCCAACGTGCCTTGTAACAGTTCACCATAGCCTATAAACTCTGTTTTGCCGTGCATTTGTTTCATGGTCAACATTTCAGTCATGCAACTACAGATGTTTTCCACCGGATGACGTGGATTCATTCTCCCTGTCTGTGTGCAAGAATGCAGCTGTGTGTGAGAAGGTGGACATTTTGAATTGTGCGATACTGACATGATGACTTATGCATGTCTGAGGACTATTAAAAACAAAAAGGTCAGAGTCTAGCATGCAGTTCTCGTGTCAAATATTTTTTTAAACTTTTGAGAAGGAAGTGATATGTCCAAAAAAGGCTGAATTGTCTGACCTACATAAGAGCAGATAGAGGGGAAACCTGGAGGAGAGCCAATGGAAATATTTATTTGTTTTCCTAGTTGCCTCTTGCCTGGGTTTATAGTCATATCTTGTTGCAGGTTTGATGCCTTTAATTGAGCCAGACTCCTTATCAAAAAGAATATTTGACTTTATCAGGTTCTCCCAAGTTTTGATTTGTAAAAATAAACCTTAGATTGGGAGGCCAATGTTATATTTGAACGTAATGCCAAGGAATTATGATATCATTCTCTGCATTTTGCAACACACATTTCCATTAGAGTGAATTGTATAGAAGTAAATAAGATTAGCAACATCAATTATCAAATGATTGTCACATGACTGATCCAGTCGGATCCTAGCCGTGGGCCTTTTCTAAAATGATTCTTGAAACACAAATGTGGGTGTTACATGTGTAGCTTTGGCTGTCATTCATCTGAAATAATAGCATTATGTTCAACAAATGAAAAGCTGAGATTAAGTAATATGGCTTCATTGTGTAAAAGGTTTAAAAAAAGGGTTTAATAAAATAATTTGACCAGACTGCCCTTTCCAAGCAGCCATTAGGTTTACAGATTGACTTCCTGGCCCCCTTCTCCAATACTTAATGCAATTATGTGTTATCACTTTCACAGACTGTTCAGTTTTATTTCCAAATGGTTTGGATAATGTGGTGGCTTGTTTACAACCAATTAGATCATTAGCATCAATCAGATGCTGTATGTTTCTCTGGGAAGTACAGTGTTATCATAACCAGCCCAAACTACCAAATTCAAGTTGTATTAAGTCAAAATTATCTTTTTTCTCTGGTCAACATACTGAATGACCTGCTCATGCGAACTCTTAAAATTAATTTAGTCGATAAACTTTATTTTATGAGTCCTGCTTCACTCACCACTGCTGCAAAAGCTTGCCATTGAGCCATGATCTAAACTAGCTTGGTAAACCATCTGTTCATCATTGCATTTACTGTCTAAAAAAAACCCCCATAACTCCACATTCTTTCTACCCCCTTTAATAGTTTCCCTACCAAAGAAGGGCTTACCCTTAATTAGTGAAACCATTAAAAAATGGTGAAGACCGAAGGCTTTCTGTAAGTAATTAGGGTCAGAGCAATAGTGACACATTTTCTCTGTGGCGTCTTCTGTCTGATCAGCAGCAGATTTTGTTCTTGCAGCTATTGCTGAGTCAGATGGACAACACACCACAGACCCTTTAAAAGAAATCCCTCGCTAAACGAAGTTCTTTGTAAACAGTCCATGTGTTTGTAAGTTGGTACATGGAAAGGCCCAATGTGCAGCTCCATTCATTTGCATCTTTGAGGAGGTCTGCTGACTGTAGCAAGAACAAGATCTGTCTGCAGACAACAGTGATGACAGATCCACAGCTGACCTCTGGCTCACAGAAAACTATTCTAATGATTCCGCTTAGTGTGGCTGAGTTACGGCCCGTCCACACGGCGGCGTGCGTTGACTCTTCAACGCTTCTGTCCATTCACTTTGAATGGGGTGACGTCACGCTTCGCTGAACTGCATTGTGGGAGCGTTGCTCGCGGTTCTCGCCGCAAAAGTTGAGCAATGTTCAACTTTTGAAGCTTCGACGGAGGCGTCAGCCAATCAAATCCCGCTTATGCAAATCTGACAGTACAAGCGCTAGCCAATCAAACCGTGTGTATGCTGGGAGAGCCATACCGCAGGTCATTTCCTCATGTTCCAAAAAATGGAGGATAAAATAATAATAGCAGTAGGGAATCAATCACCCGGTCCTATACGACCAGTCCCTCTTTATCTAGGATACAAACCGGAGGAGCCAGGCATGGAGGGAGGTGGCAGAGACAGTGGTAGGTTTTCGCCTGTTTGGGGAGTTTATATCCAGTTTACTTCGGGCTTTTTTGCTTTGTATGTCGGGGGCGGGAGATTCATGTGATTGGTTGTTGGTCGCGTTGCTAGCAAAAAATCCCCAAGCTTCAGATACGCCCACCGGCAAGCTTCAACGCACGCCGCCGTGTGGACGGGCCGTAAAACTGCATACTTTTTTATAACATATTTTCTGTTTATTATGTGGGTTTGGCTTCATCAAGTCAAAAGCAATTATCGAACTGCATTTAGTCATCAGTTGCCCTGTATGTGCCAAAAAAGAGAAGTACTGTAGTTAAAGGATTCATACAAATGTACTCTCAATACAAAGCTACAGTAGGCTAACTTAGCTTAGCACAAAGGCAGGAAACAGAAACAGCTATAGTATAGCTGTTTCTGTTTTTCTGTTTAGCTGCTATACAGTATGAGTCTGTAACATGAGGCTACTGATTACTGTTTGGGAGTCTCAGACTGAGAAATAGTATGATATACTATGGCTTTTTATAGGTTTTAAACTTCCTTTACTGTACTATCAAACAAACATAACGTGTCAAAAAGTGATCTTTAGAGGGTCTATGTTTGGTTATCTTTGGACAGAGCCAGGCTTGCTCAAAAAAAGTATCTAATAACAACTACATTTGGTCATCAGCTGCCCTGTTTAACATAGTAAGTGCCAAAAATTAGAGGCCAGAAAGTTGAAAGGATTCATACAACTCTCATATCTGTACGCTAAATACAAAGCTACCGTCTTCAAACTTAGCTTAGCACAAAGGCATTTAACAGAAACAGCTATATGGCTCTCTCACATTGGGCTATTGGTTACTGTTTGGGAGTCTCAAACAAACAACATATTCATTATTGAGCTTCAGCGGTGCTAGGTTTTGTTACCTTCGGAAAGAGCCATGCTAGCCGTTCCTCAGTTTCCAGTATACCTCGAAAGCGAAGTTAGCTAGCTGCTGCTGGCATAGCCTCATATTTTGCGTACAGACATAAACGTGGACCCATTCTTCCGTTAACCTCTCTGCCAGAGTCAGATGGGAAAGATCATGTGTTTTTCCATACGTTATAATTAACGTCTCAATCTGGGATCCATTTGTTTGATGCTTACCGCCAACAGTTTCATGTAAACATTCATACACTAGTCATATGGAAACTTTGCAGGAGAGCTTTCTGATAACTCTGTTGGTACAGCAACAATCCACTCTGGTGA